CTAAGTGAAATCTCCTGGCATCTGGAGGATTCCAGGAGAGACTGCACTTCTTTCTGACGATACTTTTTAAAGGATGTTTCTACCACTTGGAGAAAACAGAACAAAGCATACACAGAATCTGTAATAAAAATCCCAGTTCTGAGCAGTGTTATATATTAACTATTTACAACAAGCTCCCTCCATCTTCCTCCCTGCTTCTCAGTAACAAATAGTTGCATGAAAAAAACATCGTATTCAGCTTCTCAAATTCAGCTCTCTAAGGTTCTCCCTACAGATTATTAGGTCTAACTCTCATTCTTTCTACCCAGAGGAGCACTACAGTACAAAACCTCTTTCAAAACAGTTGAGAGAAGACACACRTTTGATGAAACAATTCAAATTACATGGATGAGATGTAAAATTAATCTAGGAAGTCAGAGTTAGAAGTTTAAGTACTTATAACAGATTAGTCAGGTCTCATTACTGGATTACTTATTGGAGATTAGACAGTCACATTGGAAACACAGGTGTAGAATGGAATGCCTGCATCACCAGCTCCAAACTGTGCAATTACACACAGTCATATAAGAAACAGTCAGTTCAAAGGAGCTTTCCCCTCTAATTTTTTCTGATTACAAATATATTTCAGGCACCCCAAAACAAAAACATACACAGAACCCAAGAGACAGAAACACACAATTACAACAAACTATCAGAGTTCAAATGAGGAAGATGAAGGGGTTTACCAGTGTAATGATCCTCTGCAAGGAATTTGTTCAATAAAATTTGATTAAAAAAAGCAAAGAAGCATGCAATTCACTGCAGGTAGAACAAAGCTACCATCCCTTCCCAYATACACAACCCCTGACAAACTGACAATGAAGGGTACTGTGGGAAGAATATTCTCAGCAACTAATCCCAGCATTTGTTTAATCCCAGTACACCCACTGGATATATCCAAGTCAGCACTCAAAAAAGCAGAATGCTGCCAGTAGCAGCCGTGTGGCGTGTGACATTCACTCAACACAAGTCAGAAGTGCAAATCAAGTGTCAGGCACCACAAAGAAACAGAAAACCAAACAGTGATTCTGACACAGCTGCCACACATGTTCACAGTCCCYCCACATCCCAAGCACTGTGCACACAGTCCCGGTTCACAACTCTCAGAAAGGATTAAATATGTGAGGAGAAGTTCCAAAAATGACTAGCCAGGATGGGTCWTTTGGGGCAAGTACCCCATAACCKTGCTTTGATCACAGAATGAGGCAGGTTGGAAGGACCACAGAGGGTCAYCTGGTCCCACCTCCCTGCTCAAGGAGGGTCAYCCCAGAGCACATGGCACAGGATTGTGTCCAGATGGTTCTTGACTGTCTCCAGTGAAGGACACTCCACAACCTCTTTYCCAATCTGTTCAGTTCTTACACTTATCCTTGGACATTCACTTTCAGTCACAGTCAGGACCAACATATTGAATGAGATGGATCTTCAGCGTGACAGAGCACTGCTGCACTAATTGTATCATTTCTTCCRTGGCTTTAGTAGAAGATGCAGGGAAAACCCCAAAAGCTGAAACACTGAAATTATTTTTTCATACATGCCTTTTCCCGTGAAAATTTTAATAAAACTGTCTGGAAAAACTGAGTTTCCCAAGATCTGTTTGAAATAAGGTACACCCATAGTTCATCTCATGCAAAACTAAAGGCAAAGCCTTTTTAGCATTTTTATAGCTTTACTGTTTCACAACATTTTGCCCTCCCATTATAAGCTGTTCCATTGTATAGATGGAATAACTGAGATAGATAGACTAAATAATTGTTTCAAACTCCCAAAAGAGAAACAGCTATTAGAAAATGAGCAGGTTTTTCCTTCCAATTCTTTGCTCTGTCCAGTAGATTACAGTACTCTTTCAGAGACTGCAAAATAAAAGGATAATGTATGCACACAATCTGCTGCATTCAAGGGAACTACTGAGTTCAATTCTGGTCAATACCTCTGAAAGACAGAGCTGCAAGGGGGAAAGTGCCAAAAGACAAACAACTAGAATGAGAAACCTGGAAAAAATCATTCACACAAGCAGGGGCTCAAAAGGTAAGGACTGCTCAGCYTAATGGGAAGGTAAAAGAGGGAAGTCTACAGATAACAAATAATGAAGAGAATTTCTTTTATCTCTTTCACATAAAGGATATCAAACACCAAAAAAAATATTTGAAACTGATAACAGAATATACAGATTATATAAGTTAACCTGTGGCACACACTGCCACACGATTTTGAAGGCACAGAGCTAAACAGTGCTACAGGAAAAATGCCTGAGATGCATAGAAGAACAATGGCACTAATCCAACTTTCAGTGAATAAAAATACTGAATGAAAATAAACTCTTGTGCAGCAGGGCATGCGTCTGCCTCCAACTGACAACATTTAGGAAGACTGCTCTCAAAGCTGCTCTCCAAAAGTTTTCTTTGTGGCTTTGTTTTGGTGAGATTTTTTTTTTCTTTTTCCATCAAAGCCTTTGCAAACTGACCACTGTCAGAAGAAGCAGGACAGTCTCTGTGTTTGATTCACCGAGCAGCTCTTATGTTGTAAGGAGTATGTAACACAATTACTCTCAGCATCCTACYGGGAAGGTGCTGGGTTTTTAACATCAATAGCTCAAAACATCCTTCAAAAACAAATCTCTAAGTCTCCTACTGCTGAATTCTGTTATCATGCACAAGTGGGGACAAAGCCAACCTCGGCACAGCAGGGGAGGAGAGAGGGGAATTCCTGATAGCCTGATCCTGAGAAGGAGAAATTTCAGCTTGCTAACTCTACACTRAGCCATCATATTCATTCACTCACAGCCAAACACCTTTGAACTACCAGTGACCACACTTCAAGTGACCATCTCCTCAAACACCAGAAAAAGCAAAATTCTGTTTCAGAGCTCTCCCCCACCATCCCCTTACTGAGAGCTTTTTTCTAATATAGACACACACATACACAGATATATAAAAATATATCTAAGCCTGAGTTGGAAAGCTTTAGCACAGTGGAAGGAAAAATAAATAAATAAATGTCAAGGTCTGCGTGTATTCAACAAATAAAAGCAGAATTATATAAAAGCAACAGCTAATAAAAAAGATTGTTCTGTGCCGCATTTTCCATCTTTCCAACCATTATAGGAATAAAATTATCCACAGAGAAGATCAAAAACCTTTTTCAAAACTAATACAATTAAGCTTTATTACACTGTTTCAAGTACATTTCTCTCCTTTCTCTTCTAGCCCCCACCACCTCCCACTCCAATCCAGACTAACGGTTGGAGGCATTCTTCTATTTTATTACCAGCAAATCGCTAGTCTTTAAGGGTCAGAAACTATCCAGTGTTTCAAGAGAGGAAAGAAAACCTGTTCTTTTTATCTACTTGCTTTTGTACACATAACAACTAGAAGATAGTTTTTCTGTAGCTCTGCAGCTTGAATAGGACTATGGGTAGCCCACCTTACTCCCCCGAGAAGATCCCGCACTAAAATATCCATCACATTGTTTATAAAGATGTCCCTGTAGCAAGGGACGTGGACTTGAAAACACAAACTGCAACAAAAGATATCAAAAAGAGGACAATGAAGCCTGGACACAAACTTCTCCCCACTTCACTGTCCATAAAGGACAGACACATAGGTTTTCCCTGCAATTTCCGCTTCATGAAACCAGATCCGGAGAGAAGAATATAATAGAAGCACACAGCATGGGACCAAGAAATTGCAAAAATTCCCTTTGCGTATGAACATATGGACAACTGTGATAATTAGAACGATAGCTGCTAGATTGTTTGCAATTTCACTGAACAATCCCCATTATCTAGAAATAGAATTTAAAATACGAATGCAACACTRAGTGGTAGTTTTAATAGTTTATTTTTAATGAATTGTATGGATTAAAGTGTTGCAAAATTGTATCATGTGAATTTGCTCACAGGCATGTTTTACCATTGATGGCTTAAAAAAAATGCAGCATGGACAATCATACAGTAGCAGGRAATGAAAAGTGGAATAGATATGCCAACAGCTTCCTACCGTTTCTATAATCTACAATTTTCCCATGTTCCATCCTCACATCCTGCTACATGTTGGTAGTAAAACTGATTGATTTCTCTGTCTCTTTACAACCCACCCTTTTCATTGTTTGCATTTCTTTTTAGTCACATAACACAACGACAAGTCGAATGTATGCAGCTCCCTGTCAGGACTTCTAATTGCTTCAAATTGAAGAAGATTATTCTCCACATTTATTAAAAAATAAAGACTACTTATAACATTATTTCATTTTGCCAGGAAGTGAAGAACACATTAGTTCATAAGGAACAGCATGGCTGCTCCTATTTTTATGGCATCAATTTTTAAAGACTCATCATGGTAAACAATTAAACAGAGAAGCAAATCCCACGTTCAGGGGAGAGATTCAAATCCCTAAATGGATTTTCAAAGGTCATTTCAGGCTTAAAAGATGCTTGACAGTGTCTCTTTAAATCATGTTCATTTCRAAGGCTTATCCAGCAAGATGCAGGCAGTGTACTGCAGCACCACTCTTCAAACTGTTTGGCTCCCCAGAGAAAAATTAATAATACAACTTTAATTCATATTTATAGCAAGATTTACGTTGTGATGGTTGATTTTTTTTTTTATTTAGGAAAGGATTTCTAACAAAAGGAATAAAAAACAGGGCACTCGTTTTTKTTTTTTTTTCAATTTAACTTTCACCTAAATCCCATGGTGAAAAAGATAATAGAGTTTGAACAACCAGAAATCTTTTTTTAAAAATCATCCAGTTAAAAACACCTTTATCTTTCAAATACAAGTTGCTCAAATGATTTGTGCAGCTTTTCCATCACTTACATAAGGGGTGGGGGGCAGATAAGATAGTGGGAGCTGGCAGTTCCAGATTTCAGCACAACACTTCTTGATTCTCTATCTTTTGGATCCACACAGATCCATGTCCTACCCCTGCAGAGGCCAAAAATGAGGACAACTCAGCCTTACCTTCTTCTCAATGCGGGCCAACTGCTCTGTATAGAAAGCCTCTTGTAGCTTCAACTCTGCCTCCCTGACCTCCAGCTCATTAGCCTGGGAAGGACAAYGAAACAGCATCAGCAGAAGAAATTAAAAATAAAAAATATGCAAGGAAAGCACATGGGATGCAGACTGGAAGGAACTTAAGAAAAAAAATAAAAAAAAATCACTGCTCAGGACTCCTGCATGGGAGCCCCTCTCAATGGAACTACAAACCTTAGGTATTGCAACTCATTTTGGGTTATCCCCCAGTGTTTGAAATGCTCTTATTAGTGTCATGCTCAAACCCAATACCTTGATTTTACTACTTCCTATTAACTGAAAACATATAATCATAGAAASGTGACACTTTCCCATTCCCTTTTTCAGAACTCCATCTTATCCATGTCTTTTGTTTTTCCATGAATCATGACAGTCATTACTCAAATTTTCTTCACCTTACCTTTAAAAAAATCCCCTCAAATCCTCTTCTTTATAAACTCTTAGCCCCTTAGAGTGACCAAAAGCTTTTAAGAATTAAATACTTCCCTACAGCAGACATACACAGGATTATGCAGATAATTAAGCACTCCCTCCACATGCTGTCTGTGCATTCCCCACCAGCACCCTCAGAGTTCCCCTGGCTGGTGCTGCAGACTCAGAAGGGAGATGGGTGTCCAAGAATTTCTCTTCTGTCTTCCAAAGCATAAGTGTGACACTTTCAAAACAGTAAATCTGGTATTCATCAGCTAAACAGTACTCAATTAAAAAGTCTGTGTGGGTACAGCAACAGCTGTAGACTTCTAGCTCCTTACAGCCAGCACCACCTCATTATATTCCCACCCCTGAACTGAACTAGCATTAAGAAAACATGAAATTGATGGAACTGAATCAAACTTTTGAAGTTTAAAAATAACAAGCAACCAGAGCAAGAAAAAATGGCGCTGTTCTTCATCCTCCATCCCACCTCAAAATCTCTGGGGCCACATAAGTTATCAGCAGGCAGAAGACCTTTCAAAACCAGAATCATTAGCCTGCTTAACATGGACACAAACCCTGCCAATCCATAGCATCCCAGCAGCATTGCTCTTAACTTCTAATGATGGTACAACCATGGAAAATGCTGGTCCAACATGATTAAACAGCTGGGACAGAAATATCCCCGTGGGCTCAGACCTGTCATTTTACAGCCAAAAGCCATTGCTAACGAGAAAAATTACATCTGAAAGCAAGTTGCTGTGCATGTCCTTCTTTCTGCTCCCCTGCTGATGGAAATACAGTGGTATAATAGGGCTTAGAGGAGATTTTGATCTRAGCAGTGAGGGTGGTAGATAAGCAAGCAAGAAAAGGAGTAATGAAATAGGAAGGTTGTAGGAGTGTGATGGTGGTGTGTATTTCTTTGTTTGGTTTTAAAGAARAGGAAATATTTTGGTTTCCATGTTTGCTATCCCAAAAAACAAGACTAGGATAAGGCACARGCAGTAGAGACTCATATCTAAATCCCCACTCTCTCTCAAAAGCCCTTAATTTAAAGCAAAATCTCTGGCTTTCYTTAACCTATAGATACTATATAACTTCCCACCCACAAGCCAGTTGGAATAGGATGAGGAGAGGGATGAGAATTAGCTGCTCCACACATGCAGCCTGACAAAAGAGGTATCTCAGTAATAATAGGGGCACTGATGGATATTTTGTAAGTGCAAAAATGATAACCATTTTCTGGTAAGAGAACCATAGCTGTGCCTCTGATTCAACCTGCTAATACAGAAAATTTCAAATKAAATGAAACAGATGTAAGAAGGTGGGGTGGTCTGGTGGATGACCACAGGATGGGGAATCTCCTGCAAGTTTTCTGCATAACACCTATAAAAACCAGATTAATCCACAAGTGACTTTATTTCCTTAAGGAGAAAATAAGGAAGAGAAAGAAGAGTAAAACAGTATTGAYRCCTCTCCATGATTCAGATGGAAAGGTGCATCTTACATGATGGAAGAAAAAAAAKAAAAAAAGAGAGTAAAATAATGAATTCTTATAAACTCAAGAAAGCTTCTGTTTAATCTAAATAATTATGTATCAGTAGTAGTCTCCTGGGATGGGGGATATTCTGGAAGCACAAAATCAATACATGTAACAACACTAGTGTGCAAGAGGCTTTACTCTGTTTCTGGCAAGACATGGATAACAAATCCACTCGTTCAATTTTCCAACCTGTGAGCTTGAATTCACCAAGAAAATTAGGACAATTTTCTTTACAAGCCCTCTGGAAGGGAACACAAACCAAATACCGACTCTCTCAAGTAGGGTGCTGAGATGCAGACACATTARGGGTGTGCTGCTCTGCACAATGACAACCCATGGACTGCCAAGCTGACCTCACTGGAGCTGGAATGCCCCCYGTTAATAATGCCTCCAAACCAATGCACCCTGCAGCAGACCAACATTCTGTTCATCACTTCCCCTGAGTCTTGCAAATCTGAAGTCAGAGAACCAAAACTGTATCTCCCAACTGCAGACTACAATCTCAGAGTACTCCCCATTCTTCCCCCTAAGTAATTTCTCCCATATTATCCTCCACTGTCCCACTTATCAYCCATAATATGATGAACTAGAGGTTACAGAGAAATCTTGCAAATGCAACACATATTTTTAATGCCCTGCTTGTTTTCAAGAGCTGCTGATGTTTCAGTGCATTGAAGTATACACTCTATTTGTGACAGATCTGCTTCAAAGTTTCTTTCTGTTTCCCTCTATCCTCAGCTGTTATTACTAAAAACTTTAGTTCACTTTATGATGATGTTTGAAGTATGAACRGTATAGTAGAGCATGTGTCATTTGAAATATTCACTGTTCCAAACTGGGTTAGGCAACCAGGGACATTTTGAATGAATACAGGATATTTATTAAGAGTTCCTCTAGGCCTGTTACWTATTCCCTACCTGAATCAGAAGCCTGTGATGTCCCAAACAGAACCGGCTGCTATGAAGATGATTACAATTTCACAGRGGATTGAGATTGCAAGTGCCAAACAAAGCATCAACGCACTTCTCAGAAAAAGGCCTTTAGAACTAAAGAAGGATGGAGAAGGGAAAACATGCATGATAACACACTGATTTGAAAAGCAGATATCAGAAAGCATTTCACTTCCATGCTGCAGAAATACATCAGAGCTTGAACATATTGTGCAAGAGGTGACCAAAGCCCAGAGATGACACCTAAGAAGTGCAGAACGCATATAGTGTGATGTCCAAGAAGTACGAACATGGAAACAAAATAGAGACAGGAAAGAAAGAGTATACTCTATAGAACAGAGTATAGCTATAGAACACAGGAAAGCACCCAAAACTTAGAAAAGGGGATGCATTTATAAAAGAATATGTAAGCAACTGGCCTCYGTACAAAAGCTAGATATAAGATAGATTCAAGAAATGCTCAAAAATACCCCGGGATGGGTTGCGTTCTTAAAAAAGGACAGTGAAGGCATACTACTAACATGCTGCTACAGCTTCCATGGGCATGGATCCATGGACTGGCTGTGTGGTCTTGCAAATTCTTCCTCAGATTTACCTTTACATTTTTTCTGCAGCCCAAGGTTTTTCAGGTTATCTCAGTGATGCTTTGAACAGTGACAAAGAGCCAGGGCAGAGTTATGTGTGATTCTCTGCCTCCTTCTCTCCCTTTATCAAGTAACCCATTTAGAAACAAACTGTGCAAGCACATTTCTAAAGCTATACATTATATACTGGCTCAGCTAAAGGATTCAAGCACTGGCCTGCTAGCTGACAGACAAGCCAAGAGAAATATTTCACAAGCTCCTAATTGAGGTAATGAAATATTATTGGTTCATTCTCTATGAACAAAGCCAGGCACTCGAGGCCTTGTCCTGAACTGACACCAACATGCCACACATCAGACTGTGCAACTGATCTAGAGTTGGGCTTTAGTGTAACTATAACCATTCCCAGATCAGCTTTGGCTTTAGCTCCTCCCCAAAATATCACCAGATTTTTATTATTTTTAATCACAGTCCCACCACATCACCTTGTTAAACATGGAAATTAGGGAGGAAATCAGCTTGGAAAGAAAAGAGCTTCTTGGCAGGGTCAGATGRTAACAAGGAATGTGGCACCCAGGAATAAAGTGCAGTGTTAGCACAGCCCACAGCTGACAGCTACCATCAGGCTGTCTCTCTCCTCAATACTGTTTGGATTCCGGGATATTTGGGAAGAGGGTTTGGAGAAGACTCTACTGGAGGACAAAAAAAAAACAACAATAACTCTCTCTCTCCAAAGGGCAAGGCCAGCTAGAAGGAAAAGACCAAACCTCAGTCTATAAAGAACTTCCTAAAAGGCAAGTCACAGCATTTGGCAAGATTACTGCAAAAATATTTATCTTCTTGGCAAAGCACTTCCACCACTCACAGACAAACTAGCAAGATKATGCCCAGATAATCAGTCAGAAGCAATCCAGGGAAATAAGCTACAAGGATAAAGGAAAGGTTCTCAAGTCTATCAAATGCCTAGTTTCTACATCATCCTGTCTTTGCTGAGAGGCATTATCAGCTTCCCCCAAAAGTACACAGCTACATCTCTGCAGCAGCACAGCAGAGATGTTTTGGCTGGGCATCTCAGCTTGCCACACTTCACAACTGCAAATTCTAATACCTCGTGCTTTCCCAAGTCTCTTCCAGTTCTGGTAGCAGTCCAGGTGGCAGGGGAGAAAAAACAAATGCTATTAAGGATTCTGAGATGAGAAGAAGGAATTGACAGCAATTCACTAAAGAACAGAGCTAACTCCAAAATTAGCTAGCTGGCATGTTCCTGGCCAAGTCTAAAGGGAATGGCAGAGCTAAAAGGGCAACACTGAAATAGTAAGAGGCAATTTGTGTACTTCATGCCTGACACTGAATAGTAGAACTTTACAGGGAGGCTTGTACCAAGCAAGTATCCATGGGGGAGCTTTGACACAACCTCCAGTGGCATCAGCAGAAATATCAYCACTACTGTGGAGATGACTGCAATTGCTATTCGAGACACACGAGGCCTACAAATCACTGGCTTTTTGTCCTGCTTCTCATCCTGTTGAAGACAGGTGACCAGGTTCTATTTTAGAAACCAGATGCAACTCATGGCCTTAAAAAGCAGTACTGRTATAACCTTCATTTCCTCCTGTTTCTGCTACTCTCTTAGCCRACAATACACATCACCAGACCAAGTTTGGTTTCAGCAGCTGTATGCTACACAAAAGGAACCAGTGAAAATCTTTATGGAGGAAATAATATGCAATTTTCTAGCTGAACACCTTTTAAAATGTAATGACAGAAAATAAAATCCTGCATCTGTGCTCAGCAATAACAATCTGTATGCACGCAGTAACAACATGACACTTGGAATAAGCAAGATCCAGACAAAAAAAGAGAGCTTACCCAGGCGTCCAAATCCACAGGCTTGGAATAAAGAGAGCACAAGATAGAAAGGAAAGAGAAGAAAAAGAGAAATCAGTGATTTATGGAGGCTGCCTGCTGCTGTGCAATATAGCTTTTAGGATGACAAGTTTAGAAAAGTTCCTTAAAAATGACAAGCATCTTAAGCAATGCAGTGCTGTCCCCTGTTGGGAACTGTGCTGTTAAAGCACAACAAAAGCACATGCACCCCCTAAACCAAAACCAAAGCAAAGCCCCCACAGCCTGCTGCAGGATCCCCAGGTAGGGTGGGAGCTAAGCAAAGGCAGCTGGGAAACAGCCAGTTCCAGGGAGCCATGCAAGGTGCTGCACAATGTTAGAGATGCTGATACACAACAAACACCAATGAACGTGGCAATGCTGGGCAGACTCAAAAGGAGGTGGTCAACAACTGTGCTGCTTCCAATTATGTGCCAAGAACAAGTAATCTTTTAAAGGGCATTTCTGAATGCACAAGCTGACCTACATAGCAAGTCATCTTCTTCCACRGACAATTTCAAAGAGTGATTCCTAACAGAAAGCCATTGACTGATTAGATTCCCAACCAGATCCCCCTTCTCAGGCAACTGAAAACCTCTTCAGTACATAATCCAAACCTGTGTCAAAGCCAAGCTGCCTCCACGTGTTCCTTCTTTTGTCCACAAGCCTATTTAAGTGTGCAGACAAGCAGACGCAGTATCATCTCTCCTTTACATATCACTACTTTTTACTTACACAGTAACCCAATAGCAGCAAAGCAAGTACAAGATGATAAATATTTCATGCCCATAACCACCTCCTTTTGAAGCCAAGGCATTTAAGAGGCAGACACAGCTCTCCTTTGCTGTCATGGGCTGYAAGTCTTCCCTAACACTCAGGGCTACCTTCAATCAGCAGCACGCTGGCTAAGCAGGAACTTCAGAATAGCTGGCCTTTTTTATTATGATTATTTACTTGAGGGGAGTTTACAGGGCACAAGGAACTTTCCTCTTGGTCATAGTTCACTGCCAGAGGGAGCAGACGGTGGAGGGTAATATTTTTATGGGATCCGCCATCAYTTTAATGGCACAGAGTGACTACTTYAGGTAACTGAGGGATCATGTGTCATCAGATATGTGCATCGTCCATCCCCATCCTTTGCAACAGCTCAGAGGGCTGGAACTGAACATCTACATTTCACCTGGGGGAAGCCAATTCCCTCCTTTCTGCAGACAGGTTTGATATAGCAGCATCATGTCCTTGGCCAAACAAACCAATACACAACAGGTGTTTACTGGTAATCACTGACCAATCTTGACAGAAGCTTGATTTGAATAACATTTTTCTTCCTGATGGTTTTTACAGCCAGGACAGATGCGCTTAGTTTTGTTTTTATATTTTAGCAATTTGCAAGGCTGTCCATCCTCAGCAGATGGACAGGAGGATCGCAGCACTCTTCATGGTGCCCCGTAGTATTTCATCAGGTAGGTCATGCACACCACTAACTCTTTACTGGATGTACATCTGTCATCCCTGGGTGCCTRAGCCATGAACTGGCACAATCCTGGYGGACAAACACTTGCAYGACAAAATAAACACAAGGCACTAACTCAGTGGCACTGGACAGGGGCTGAGAAGAGAGCAAGGAGAAGGAACCAGCCCTATCAATATGAGCCCCATGAGACACAATGCWCAGCAGCAGAATTAGGGTTTTAGGGAATATAACAGTGTTACTAATCACAGGGCATCTCTTCTGCAGGTACTGCCAAAGGCTCTAATTCTGTCGGCCTTCAGGAACAGGGGAAATTATTACTCCAAAAATAGGAATAGATACACTCCACTGAATGGAAACAGGAAAATCAAAATGTGTAAAAGCAGTAAGACATATTTCTGCATTGGAAAAAACAAAAAATCTGACTAAATAAAATACACTATTAAAAAAAGATACAAAAACAAACACTCAAGAGGGCTACTGGTTCAAGTTTTGCGAACTTCTAAGCATGCGCCAAGATCTCTTTGCAGACCTGCATTTACCAGTTTTCACTGATAACAAGAGACACATCCTGTCCATTAATATTTTCAAAGTTTAAGCAATCTGTTTAAGAAATGAGCAGTATCTAATTTCCTTTTTTTTCTAGCTAAGTGACCTTCACTTCYAGCTCCCAGAGGGCAGCTTGAGTTTTTTAATTCCAGCCCTGGGACACTAGCCATCTTTCAACACCCTTGGTCAATACTTCTAAACTCTTCTGCTGAAACAGGTTTCTTTCTCTTCCAGGTAACTCACTGGACAACAACCACAGGAACCAGAATAAATAACGGACTTAACCATTTGAGGTCAAAACCCAATGAAGATATTGCTCCCAATTGTATCAGAAGCAAAAGGTTTTCGAAACATGATCTCAGACCAAACTGGAAACCTCTGTTTCCCCCCTAGGGATTCATACAGAAGGGAAAGATGATGCTGTCCACTTGGAGAATACTCTGGCTGGATACAGGAACTATGTGAGTAATGCATCTGTGCTTCTGAAAATTTCACATTTAAGCACTGACTATTCAGGCAGCGGATGCCTTCCCACATATGTATCAACAGTTCAACTTCCAATAGCATCAAGAATACAGCCTCAAATTAGTATTTCACTCATAAGGACAATTCACAGCAAACCTTTCCCAGACCCATACAGTACATCACCATTACATATCAGGCACACCACTCAAGTCTGTCAGAGTCTGGRGAAATGCAAAAATGGCAGTGAGCAATCAAAACACAGTTCTGCAATTGGCAGGGAGAGAAGAAGGGATCAGCACAGGGCAGCAGCCTTTGGAAGGACAATGCCTTTGAACCTGACTGGAAYCAACTTCCCCCTGAAGTCCATCACTTTGCCATAGTCAATAACTGTCACAGAACAGATTTCACTGCAGTGTGACCAATGACTCAGGAATCCAGACTACCAGCTTGGTAGAGATCTTCTACTTAAGAACTCAWCACAAAGTATTTTTAGGGGCACTGCCAGCTTCGGGAGTGGAAGATGGAGTGGGAGATGCGAGAAGTGAGAGGCAGCAGGTGCCCAAAACYCAAGACAGCTGTTGGCAACAACTTTTGCACTCATGTCAGTATCTGAAGAGCTCTGCAGCAGATATTCCAACATCTTGATGACCAGACTTCATCACTGAATGAGCAAACAGTCCCTTCTTACAGCAATAATCCAGCTCTAAATTTATCATGGTCCACAACGATAGGAATTCAAGTATTTAAAGAATATATACAGAATATCTACAGTATCCACTCCAGATTCTTCAATTCTTCCAGTTTTGGTGAAAAATTGAAGCAGTATCAATACTAAATGTAATGAGAGTCTGAGATGCAACCAATTGACAAGGGAGAGGGAGAAGGAAGAGAAGCTGAACAGCAATCAATTTCAAGGAAAGGCTCTGATGAAATTGGTTAACTCTAATGYATACAGACCATACACAATTCTGTAAACATGAAGATGGGAAGCAGCCAAAAAAACCTTTGCCCTTTTACGATTAGGGGACAACTGCATCCTAATACTTATRGCACTGCTACAAATAGGCTTGCAATGCTGACTGTTGATAGTTTTAGTTTAAAATAAAATTAAGAGAAACCTATTTTATAAAATCCAAAGTAAACCATCTGCTTTCATTGCTTGCTTTAATACTCCAGCCCATTTCCCCATTCTCCTTTTCCCATCACAACTTCTACACGTGCATACATACAGTTTTCATTTTGTAGGCTGCCAACAGCCATTCAATGGCTACAGAAATCTTGCAGAGTGTAGGTTCTCTGGAGATGTATGCTCAAGATGGTTATTTCTGATAGCAGGTGAGTCAACAACTTGCTCTAAATTTTTACCTCCTTRCTTAAATTCCTACTCTGCCTATTAGACTTAAGAATCTCCAAGTCCCTGACTAATTTAGAAGAAGAAAAACAAACCAACAACCAAAACTTCAAGGGCATCGTAAAATTCTGTATTAAYTATGACTTTCTATCCCAGAACATATTTCAGACCCTACTGAGTCAATAAGGTATTTCTCGTAAAGCTAGAAACAAAGGCCACTCAACTCTTTTTGGATTATTTCTAGCTCATGACCATTAATGCAGATTCCCATTACACTAGCCTAAGGGTGGCATATGGCTTTCTAGGGATAGGACAGACGGGCAAAAATAACAGTTATGCATGCCTACATCCCAGTCTCATTGCTCTGCCTGCATATGGGGACAGAGCTCTCTCTTGCCAGATTCTTAAATACCAAATATATTAGCTTCCGAGTCAAACATAGCACCTCATACACAACTACTATTTCAAAAAAGAAATCATGATGGCATTCATAATCAACCCATGTGCCTCCAAGCAGTAAAAATTATGAACCCCTGTGAGTTCAGAAGGAATTCCCTTCCCACATTTGCTCTTAGACACTACAYGCAATTTTTACCTGCCTCTAAACAAAACACACATTTTTAGGCACCAGCCAATGGATACAGGTCAGTATAGCACAGTAATACAAATTTCCTGCCATCAGATTAGAAATCTAATTTTTTTAATTTAAAAATTATTATGTCAAATACTATACAGTTTAAAAGAAATGCAGTTGACTTTAGTGCTGCTTTTTAATAGAGACTGTCTTAATTACATACTTGAGTAAAGAAATTCTTGAAAGCCTTCAGATATGGTCATGCATCCTCTGTCTGTCTATGAATTCTTCAGCAGGCGGAGAATCAGGTGCACTTTCAAACAACACAGCTTGTTTTCACCCCTTTGACAGCCTTGTAAATTTTCCTCTTTTCCCTGCTCTTTCATCCCAGAATGATGCCTTTCAGGGTCGGTATCATTCTGCAGGCAGATTCCAAGCTACCAACTTGCTAAGATACATGTGGGAAAGACACACAGTAATTAACATTTAGTATAAATCATGTGGATTCCAAAGCCTTACTAAAAGGACCACATAAACCACAGCGGACTCAAAACAAATGGTCTGGGCTAGTACACATATATAATCATGCTCCCAGT